ACCCCCCTTCTCGGGATAGGCTTCCTCCCCTTCGATCAAGCACTTTGCTGCTGGCCAAGCTGGAAAATTTTAAAAACAGGGCTGGTTTGGGGGGGGTACAGAAAGGGGAGGGTAGTCTGGTCCGTACCATGTTTGTATGAGGAGAGCGGTCTGGTGAGGTGAGGTAGCAAGCGAGAGCGTGGGTGGGTGGTGGCTGTAGTACGAGGAGATCGAAGGAGACCGTCGTTGGTTGGCCTTGTTGTTTCGGCTATCTTCAGGCCGTTCGGTCGTTGGCCGTTGGCGCGCGCGCAAATTTCGCTGTGGCGTGATGCCGTGGGCCGGCGGATGTGCGGTGGTGGAAAATTCGTCATATGTCAATGTGCCGCGACACGCGCCCCCCCCCTCACCCGCTCCCCCCCCCCTCCTCCACCGTACTCTATGTCACGGCCCTCGAGCACCTGACGCAGCCAGTATGGGGTGCTGCCTGGGCGCACATAGGGTACGCAAATGTGGGTGTTCTCGCTAAGTGGCTGCTACCATGGTTGCTTGCCCCCCCCCCCCCCCCTCCCTTCTTGTAGCTGACCTTGCCCATCACCTTTGCATCATTGGCCACGGTGGCTTTCCCCAATTGACGTCGGTCCAACCTTGCAACCCAATGGGATAGACGTCCCACGCATGCCGCGGTTCGGTGGTGGCTCACCCGTGACGCTCGCATCGAGGCAGACTAACTAAAGATGGTGATGACTTGGGTTTGGCCGGTGGGCGCGGGGAGATAGAGCGGCGGAGCTGTGGCACCAGCCTCGCCGAGGTCTGTCGCCACCACTGTAGCTCAGCCGCTCGAGTGGTCGGGCGACGATGGTCTGGTGGTCCCTGGCAGCCAAGGCACAGGACCAGGAATCATCGTCCACGCGCTCCCCAGTCCGGAACGGGTTGTGCCGGGCCAAACTCGAGGTCTCGGCTCCGAGTTGAGCAGCATGCGCGGAGCGGGCGACGAGATTATGACGGTAATGCCAGCGGCCGCTGATGGCCACGCTGCACCGCTCGTCCCGCCCATCAGCTTGAACGGCGACGGCAAGGAGAGTGCGCTGCAGACGCCGACCTCGCATGATCAACAGTCTGCACTTTGTAAGAGTGCCAGCCAGACGGGGCTCCGGCTAATTTCTCAGGCGTCGTCGTCGCGCAATCTTTACGGCCTTCACCCCGTGCCGAACGAGTCTAGCGAAGAGTTTAGCCAGATGTCGGCGCGGCGGCTCTCGATCTCCAACTCGCACGTACGGCGGGCATCGATTTCGTCCAAGTCGTGCGTCTCCCTCTCGTCGACGTGCTCAGGGTCACTGGCGACTCTCGAGGCGCGGCGAATGCGAAGGGCGGCGTCACAAAAGTACCCGCGCTCCAAGTCGGGTACCGTTGGCGAGCTGCCCTCGCTTTCGGGCACCCACACCCGAGCCAATCTCAGTACTTCGGCCCTCCGCGAGTCAACCTCGCACCTTTCCGACTCGATACCGGTCATCAAGGCTCCGCCAAGGGTGTTTAACCCGTCGGGCCTCTCGCGCTCGCACTCGGCATTGGCCACAAACCATGACGGCCGCAGGTCGCCAGTCGTCGGCCTGGCTCGACCTCCCTCGGCTGCAAACATGCGCATCGCATCCGTCGTTGAGGCTCGCAGCCCAAACCCAAACCCGCCGCCGACCGCTGCCCGCCCACCCCCGTCACCCTCGCATGCCACGTCTTCGGGCCAACGCGCTGAGACCACTAGCGAGCAAGCGGAAATACTGTCGTCGTCGTCGTCGTCGTCGTCGTCGTCGTCGTCGTCGGTTTCATCGTCGTCGTCGTCGTCGGCTTCATCGTCGTCATCGTCGTCGTCGTTGCTCGACTCTGTCACCCCGACGACAGCCTCGCTCCACTCGCAGGAGCGAATGTAGTGGCGGGCGTCCTTGGTACATAAATCGGCTAGCGCTGCGACTTGGGCGCGGCCGTCACAGAGTCTCGGAGGATAAAGAGCCACATCTCAACGAGCATGATGGCAATGGTAGCGGCGAGGCCAAGAAGATGCGGGCCCAGAACGCCTCCCCAGCCCCAATTCCCGAGTGTGTAGCCGAACGCGTACATGACCGCCATCGAGACGATGATGTTGACGCCGATGGAGAGCTGGGAGCCGAGCGTCGCCACCTCGCCGGCCATCTCGCGCTCGGCCTCGCGCTGAACCTCTGGCAAGCGCGCCACCATCCTTGCATACTCTGCATCACCCGCCGCCGCCCGCAGCCGCTCCAGCCGCGACGCCAGATCCGGATGCGGCGGCGGAAGAGGTGGTGGCGATCCGGCAACCAGTGCCGTTGATCTGCCCCGCAGCGCTCGCGCCGCCGCACCGGGCGCCAGCCGGCCGTTGGCTACATCAGCCCGCAGTGCAGCCACCACGTCCTTGATCCGCACCGGCCGTTCCGCATCGGGCGCATCGGGCGCATCGGGTGCAGCTGGAGCATCGGGTGAGTCGACTTGGCTCACACTCTGGCTCTGGCTCGGCATGTCTGCTGCGTCGGAGAGTAGGTCCGTCAGAACGGGGCCAGGCGCGATCCAGCCCTGGAAGCGAGTGTCCATGGTGACAGCGGTGGCAGTGGTGGCAGTGGGTGAGGTCTATGCTCACCACGTCGTCCACCGTCGCTGGCGTCGGCTTGGCCTAGCACGAGTGGCGTCACATGGGAGAACGGGGCTTAGAGCCAGCCCCGCTGTGGCCGTCATCCACGGCTACCAGGCGCATGCCTCTCCCGATGATTCTTCAAACCACTTTAGCATGTAGTTGGGCATGTTTCACACCACTAGATCTATGTGTTGTGTGGGGATCGTGCTCTGATCACCCACACGATTGCTGCGAGAGGGGAGGAAGGGGGGCTTGTCTGTGGTGACCAGTTGCGGCATGCCATCCACCGACGACAGCTTCCACCACAGGTGTGGAAGGGGGGGGGGGGGGGGAGGGCGGACCCAACGTACGTACGTAGGT